CAATCGCATCACATCTGGTCGAAATCGGTCACGTCATCGACGCCTTTGACGTCACATACTACGTATCTCTGAAGTGATCACCGCTGGTACGATCCAGACTATCACTGATCAAGGAGGCGATTGGAATCCAAATGCTTGCATCCAAAAAAAGGTTATGCGATAACAGCTGGTCAGCGAAAAATTCGGTCCCACAAGCCTATCTAACACTGACGTCACTAACCTGATCACGTGACACACTGACCAAATGTGCCTCCCGTTCAAGCCCTCTTCCCCTATTTTTTCTCACTAAAATGAATTACTCCTGATTGTCACATAACCTTTTTAGGTGACCACTGGTATAATATACATTTGTGACATATTGGGCAACAAGGAGAATCACAAACGGGCTTTATTTGGCACTCTCATTCTTCTCATATCATCCAAGAACCTCTTCCAACCTTAGTAGATTTGAGGACATGGCTGATACCGTATGCTGTATGCAACTTACATCCAACACAGAAAATCTCTGTAACATTGAGGCACTCGTCAGTGAAGAAGCTATGCATAATTTTCGTGTCCTCGGTAAGCTTATTGCAACTTCGTCTGGATTTATCGTATGCCAGTATTGTGTCTTTGTCAAGCTCAGATAGTGATTAACCGCGCACTGTACCTTGGTTTCGTTCAGTGAGTGGCCAATAATCATATTTTTGGCCGAGTGCTTAAGTTGCAAGTCACGCCAGACCTTAACGTAACGCTGGACATAACTCAACACATGGTCTGCATACCTACAAGATAGTCCCCGGTTTCCATCGATCCCAGCCCCTGTATTTGTTTGGCAGCTTTGATCATCTGTCCTCTAATCAAGTACGGTCACCCGATCAAGCATTACCAGATTTGCAGTTTTGGGGGTTTTGTGGGTTTTGCTCATAGTCGCACCACTCTCTCCTGTTATGGAGTAATTATTCCGGTGAGTCCACACCAAAGGGAAGCACTGGACTCGAGTTCCGCTCCTATTAGAGCTCACCAGTAGTGCATATCCAATGGCCGTGCCGGGATTTGAACCCCGGACATTTGACATGCGAACCGAGCGTGTGACCACTACTCCACCGATGCACGTTCGACGCATCTGAATTTTCACGTCTGAACAGGAAAACGTGTTCACACTTGGTGGTTGATGTGCCCTACCCATCGAACGACGACCCAGTAACCATCCGATTGGCCCGCCAGTCAGGTAGCGTGGCATACGGTTGAAGCCCACTGGGCAACTTCTTCGTTGCAGTTTTAGGGTTTTACGGGATAGGTATTTTGTTCATTGTCACACCACTTTCGTTTGAGCGGTCATTCAGATTTACTGAACCAGATCAAGCTGCGCCGATGAAATCGCGCATAAAACAGGTAATGCCACCTTCGGTTTGCGCTAAGCAACGTGTACACTTAGCCGAGCATCTGGTGTCCGGCGTGAACCCAAGAGAGTAAAGTCGGAAGGTGAACAGGTAAACTGCCAACATGCTCAAATGACGGTCCACGGTGGTTAATTCATGCAACATTGAAACTGACAATGCCTATAGGGTGACCCGATAGTCCACGCAACTCGTAAGACAAACCTAGGGGGTGTTGATTCCTTTCTTCTATTTTTATATTGTACAGCGCAATTCCCCCTTTTTGTTATTTTGGCTTGCGCTTGTACCACTACCCTTCTTGTTTTTGACCTGAACATAAACCGTTCTTTGACCTTGTCATCGGACGTGTTGTTTAACTTCACAGGTGGTTTCGCTAGCTTGCAAACGCGTGGCTTTGAGCCAGTGTGGACTTTGAGATCAGTTGAGAATTACCAGTTCCTAAACCGGTGTATAGAAACCGCTATAGTCCCACGATTTGAGGTTTGTAAAGTTTTCTCATTTTATTATTATGCTCATAGTGCCGCATTTGTAGAAAAACTTCCATTTGAAAGATTTGGCTTTTGGGGTTGCGCACGTAGCTCGACGTGGTCCAACAGACTGCTGGAATCAATCTATAGCGGGGGGGGGGGCATAAAATCCGTTACATCTGTACAACGATGGTCCGTACTATTTTAGGTTTAGCATCACAGAATGTCACGTGTAAGGAGCTGCAGACATACGTGGGATGTAACAAACTAAAGTACGTAATGTAGTTGCAATACACACACACCAAAGACAAAACAAGGATGAGAAGTACGCACATTAAAGGGCAACAGGACCCAATACGATATGAAAAGTTTGACAAAACAGGTAAAACGACATGGGTATGCAGTACGATTACGAAAAGGTCTAACAAAATTGCATAATGGAAGGGCCGTATTTTATGACGACCGTGAGGAAGCTCATAAACATTCCTATGAATACTGTGTAGTTCTGACGAAAAAACCGTCCAGCTGTAGCACCCTTTCGGTGCCTAGCTGCCATGCCACCCGAAGGAGGCACGAGGTCGCCCAATCCTAGACAGGGGAAGTCGAGAGGCAGAGGTCGGGTTCGAACCCCGGGCCTTCTGTTCAGTAAATTCGCGCTCTAACCAACTGGGCCATCTGACGAAAAAGCGACTGTGCATAATCAGACATAAACGGGGAAAACTTATCGAAATCAACAAAACCATCGAGTTTATCGAAGGGTTTACGAAAGTCAAATGTGCGATTTATCGGTTGGTTTATTCAACTTCCCCTACCAACGATTTACCTAGTCTGTTGAAAAAAAACGATCAGAAAACCTACGTAAGCCCTAAAATCAATATATTTACAGCCAGATCAAAAACTGTCGCTATTGCAGAATGCAGACACAAGAAACGGTAATACTTGTGGTTTGGGATAAAATAGGTGAAGGTAAGTCCGTTGTCTGCTTCCTTGTTCTTAAAAAATATTGCTTTGCTTTTGGGTCAATTCTCCACGGAAAAACTATTCTCGAGTGCCGTTAACAGGAGCTATTCATGAGAACCTGTTGAAGAAACTTAAATAATTGAGCTTCTAAGCCTATTCGGCTGCATTTTGGAACAGTGCGCGGGTCCGTTTCTACCTCAAAACCATTATTCATTATTTATTCTAGAATTTCAATCAAAATTCACACTCTGGGATGGCACGAAGCTGTCCAAAGTGAATAATTCCACACGGCTTTGAATTTTGTTTAATAAAAGGGCAGTGGAAATTTTAAAAAAGAGTGATGAAAGAATGGATGATGAGCTCGGTGTTCTTCTATTCACATTTAACTCAACAGACTAACACTGACAACAAAACTAGAAAACTTAGAGACCTATCCAGATGAGCTGCGCTCACGATCTCATTAGGCAACACGGTAGTGCAACATTGCGCCTTGCGGCATCACTCACTGGATTCACGAGGATTAAACCATCAGCATCGTCGTGACTCATCATCTCGAACTGTGGTCTCTGGTGACAATATAAGACTTAACAGCTTGGACGATACCGTTATCATGAGGTGACGGTGTTAGAGTAAGGCAGACCGAATTGACTTGAGACAACAAAGGAGATGCTGAGGCGCAGTTGCCTAGGGGTAACAAAGTCCCGCTTTGGACACCGGATTTGGTAAGCTGAGAATCCAACCGAGAAAAGTAGTGGATGTGTGTCACTTGATTAGGGGATGTCTTGGCGCGGCAATTCGAAGTTTTGTAAGACAGCCCGATATGGTTGTAGCTGACCGTCGGCAACCAGACAGAAAATGTCACAGAAGCCAGTGAAAAGAGGGAAGCAGGTGATCCAAGAGGGGAGTCGCTTTTGGCAGTAAAGTATACGAGAGAAGTTCCGGGACACAAATGTCAGCTGTATCACATGAGGCACTATACATGCGTAGAACAAAAAGCATCATCATTGTCAGCTGTAATAACCGCGTACTCGTGGTGGTGGTTGTAGCTGCCACAGTTTCGTTCACCGATGATTACGGGGGAGGTAGGTAGCTGCGCATTGCAGGCGGGAGCTGATAAATTGGTGCATAAATCCAGCACTGTCAGTGGGCTGTCAAGTGGAGGGGGGGGTTGGAAAAGGAGCTATGCATTGAAGGCAATAGCTTGGATGCACGAGCGCCATTGAAGGCGCGACTTTGGCGAAAAGAGCCCTTCGAGGAAGTCGGTCGATTGGCATACGCAGCACGTGGCCAAGCCAGCGCAACCTGTGCAGTGTGATCAATTCATCTATCGAGGGTGAGTTATTTCTCCCGAATACCATTCGACGTACTTCAGAATTGCTGATCCGGTGTTCCCACCAGATTCGGGCAATGCTCCGAAGACATCGATGGTCAAACACTGAAAGTCTTTTGACGTCCTCGGCGCGCAGCGGCCAGGTTTCTGATCCATATAGTAATATGGAGCGCACGGCAGCATTGTAAACCCGACCCTTGACAGAGAAACTGATGTCACGCCTACGCCACAGGTGACGTAGGTTCGCAAAAGCTGCTCTGGCCTTCCCAATCCGGATGGAAATATCATCTTTCGCGAGACCACCGGGACTGATACAGCTGCCCAGGTAAACAAATTTGTCTACTACCTCAATCGGTTCATCCGCGAGCATGAGGCTAGGGTTCGAGCAACTCAAACCAGAGCTTGTAGCGGTGAACTAACATACAATCAATGCAGATTAGTAGCCAATTAACAACCAATAAAAGTACCCAAGCTGACAGCATTTAGATAAATTACCCAATAGTGGTTAGCACAAACCTAACGAGACTGTCGATTCGCTCATTACGAATCGATAGCATGAACGGGTCCCAAAAAAAACAAGAGATTAGTCTCAGAAACAGCATTATTTTGCGCCGGAAGCTGTGATATCCCTTCCGCGCACAGGTTAAAATACTGCTCTGACACCACGACTGGGCCACGTGAAAGGCTGCATCACGTGAATCAAACCGATCATACTACTCGCAGAAGGTGAAGTTACAGGTTACCGTGTAAGTTGCTCATGCTGTGGCAAACAAGTGGGTTGCAGGAAAAACCTACTGTCAATCGTGGTACTACACAAACCTATGGTGAAGGTCTTACGGTTCCTGACAGACTAGGTCTACTTACCCATGTGCAAGTGCTTCCGGTGGTTGCTGTAGCGCTTGGCCGTAGTATCCCGGGTACTGCGCTTGCTGCTGCTGTTGTTGCTGGGCGTAGAAGGCCGCTTGTTGTTGTGCTGGTGAGTAGAGAGTAGCATGCCCTGATTGTGGGGCGCCTATCCCATTATGACACATGTTAGACATCATGTGTAGCGCCTGCTGACTTCCATGGTAGTAGGCTGAGTTCGGATAGTTTGCAGGGGACATGGCACCAGCCGTTGCGGAAGCCGGATCGTGTATCATCGAACCAGTGAGCTGACCTCGTTGGAGCAAAGTGCCTAAACGGAAAGAGAATCACACTGAGAGCCGGAGCGAGAAAGCAACGAATTACCTGTGTCAGAAGCTGAGTAGTTAGTCTTTTAACACATTTCCACAATTACGCATTTTCTAGGTGCGTAATAAATATGACTAATTGCTGCTCGTTTACGTCATTTATTCAATACCCCCGCCCGAGATAGAGAATATTCGGCGTTCACTGGGAGGTGACCCGTCTTCCGTAGGTATCACACATTAAGGTATGACTGAGGGATAACATCCGTGGATTCTTCAAGGTAGGTTGCTGACCTAAAGGAAGGTACTATGCGAGGGTAAACTTCTATGGTGTGAACACACTACCCCTTGTGGAGATTTCGTCCTGTAAGTGAAACCAATCTATGCTGAAAAGCCCAGAAGCACTGTACAGCTGTTTCATCCTTATTGGGAATCATCAGCGGTGTGCATCTCACGAAACTCCGAAGAGTCTCGAACCCGCGACCTCCCGGCTAGTAATTTGAACACTTGACTGTTCGGCGACGAGTGGTTGATCAACAGTGTGATTAACTCGCACTTAGACAGGATATAGCGCCGCTCATCCTTCAATCACGGGATCCACATCACGCGGTCACACGTGTTGACTGGCTCCTCGAGCAACGACTTCTCACTGAGTGCACAAGGTATATTAACGCCCAAAGCGAAGTCAGGAACACCTGTACAGCGCTTCATATATAAAGCGTAGGCGGCTATAACTTTCTGGAAATTCTGACGCGTTCTAAATGCGCCATTGGCAACCGGCATTCGGCCAATACTGGGACATGATTAGCTGTTGGGCCCAGACTTTCGACCAATCAGATCTCGGCTTGATGCCGGACCGGCAAGCATCCTGAATTCTGGGCCAATCTTGTGTGGGATGGACTTCTCGGCCGTAGCAGCACCTGAGTGGGAGCGATAATGAGGGATCCATGTGGAATTCCGCCTAACATGATTGCACTTGGAAAGCGATAAACCGCGTTGCAGCCTTGTACCGAGGTACTTATGGTCAGTGACTGTGATGGTTCGGCATGGCATTCAGGAAACTTCCCGCCACATTAAATTTTGAAATTCCTATTTACCATCCCACAGTGTGGCTGGAGGACAAGTCGAATGCAAGTTGAATTTTTCCAGAAGTTCCATACATGTGTTCGAATATGAACGCTTTGTACCTGCAGTCTGAAAAGCGGCAGAAAGGGTGTGAGGGGATCTCACTTGGTGCCTTGCATCGGCAACAGTTTAACTGCCAAAACAGTATAGAAGTGGTTTGGACGGTCTGTCTGGGTGGTCGACGGGGTTCGGCGCCAAGCGAATGCCAGAGACGGAAGAGTAGCTTATAAGGGGAAGGATCATGAAGATTACAGAGGCCTCCCCATGAGAAATCGTCACTCGAGCAACCGAACAACATTGGATCACGTGGGAAGAACTGCCGGGTTGAAGGATGATGGTATAAGATGCCCTGTGCAGGTGCAAATTCATCGCATTTGAGGCTGGATGCGTCAGTCCCCATCCGGAGGGTTATGGGTTCGAACATCCTCAGAGATTCGCGAGATGCGCGCTACTGAAGCCCCCAAATAGGTACACGTTCGTTGAGCGCAGGTTTTCTTCACCTGGAAAGACTTTTCTGGGAAGCAATGTTAAGCATAACGTGACCTCCGGCTGTCGTCCTTTTCCTACTCAGTTACGGACGAAAACAAGCGGAAGTGTCTGTTGATAATACATCTACTACGGCAGGAAAAGCATTCTATGGCCCCACGATCCATACCCCTCCCCATAAGGTGGGAATTTTACCGCATAATGAAGAAAAGAATTGTCCACAAAGGGTTTCGCTCACTATCAGACTACTAACAAACGGAGTCGACATTAACTAGTCTCAAACTGGACACAAACAACCCAAACGGTGTGTGTGTGCGGTATTTTCCGGTGCCAGAACGGAGGAGAGGAGGTTCAACTGATAAGCGACACCGCCTGTGGATGCGCGGATTCATCGTGCCGTGTCCGGAAAATCAAGCCAGACACGTCACACACGCACACGGAGGAGGAAAATAAACACAATGACAAACCAAACCAAACCAAACCAAACCAAACCAAACCAAAACAACCGTACCGTATGCCGATCCATCTTGTATGGAACCGCCAGTGGGTGGTTCACGTTTAAGAGACGCCCCACTGGGAGTGATCGAACCGGGATAGTAGACCATTTGGCGTTGGATCGCACCGCTGGGCATTCCGTAGGGTGGGGGCAGCTCGGATGTTTGTGGATGCTGAAAAAAAGACAAGCAATCCAATTGCGGAACTAATAGGTGCGGCAAGATGAGGGACAAACGAATGACTAGAAAGGTTGTGAAAGCAGCCTTAAGAAGTCCCGAAAAGTCAGTAGAATCGGTTACCATTAACAAATAGGTCAATTGGGACGGCGAAATTGTTGTAAATCCGAGCATAATCAAACTTCCAAGAGGTTGAACCGGACAACATCAGAGGACGGCAGAGATCTAGGTCTCAGTAGTAACGGAACATCAAGCAACTCGAAGGATGCAATGAGACTGGACGAAAATGGATCGATGAAGTCGAGTGAGGAGTCAGACCGGATTTGTTCTCGTAACCAGATGAAGGATAAATCAGTCTTCTGCCTTTAAGAGGCGTGCTTGTACAACCGAGGATGGAATTGAACAGAAAGTCGCCGGATTTTTACGGCAGCAGTAGGAACAAACGATCAGAACCCGTTCTGAAGGTGAAACATTGCTATCCGGAATGGCTCCGGGGCAAGATGAAATCCTGACAGCCTACTACTAAGACAGCAATGAGGCGGTGGATGAAGGTAACGGAGAGGCATCCGAGATAGGGCCATTCAGAGGAGGAGACCAAATGGGCGCCAGCTTACCAATATTGTCCCACAGGGGAATGTTACGACCTCCCGAACGATGCAATCGTTCAGCTGTAGCACCCTTTCGGTGCCTAACTGCCATGCCACAGGAGGGAAGCATGAGGGCTGGGATTCTGCCAGGTTGCCCAAGTCTAGACAGGGGAAGTCGAGAGGCAGAGGTTGGGTTCGAACAACGGACTTCCCGGTCAGTGAATTCGCGCTCTAACCACTTGGTTCATCTCGCCCCCAACGATGCAATACGGAACGTCAAATCAACCTCGCTCTGGATATCTATGAGATTACCTTGTTGTTTTACATGATGAAAAACCTGCAGAGCAATGGCCAATTGAACGTACAGGTATTCAGTCGGTTAGCCATTCTCAATCAGTAAGCGTCCTAGAGGGATCGGAGCACAAATGCTGGATAGTATTATCCTCTTTAGGCAACGCATTTCGAAGGGACAGTTTCAGAGACACGAAATTTCCCAGGTTGCAATTCCGCCTGGTTCCATATGTACAAACGGTGATACAGTTGACAAGTTTACTTTACCATTATCAAGGTGCGCTTCATGGATTTTGGCCCCCGAACACGTGTAGATATCGTGAGAGGTGACGCGACGAAAACACTGGTCGCAAGTTAGCAAAATGATGTGTGAAGCTCGTTGTCTGTTCAAGGTCAGTATCTTTTAGCACAGAACTCTGGTCAGCTTGAAGCGTTTTGATTGAAAACAACATTAGGGGGGACGGTGAAGTTGACTGGAAGAATCCGTGCATGTTTGAAACTCAGTTCTCCAAAGAGTAGCGGCATTATCAAGGTTTGGTGGTAGCGACTCCACGTCCCCAGATAACTAACTGACGAACTGTTAACGTTCATTACCATTTGACATCTCATCAGCGATTGCCGCACAGTAATGATTTAGCTCCAACGGAAAAAGTTTTCGTCATAAAGAGCTCAGAGTGTAAAAAGAAGTAAGTACTGAATTAGCAGGCCCAAATATACCCTCCGGATAAAGTTTAGCTCTCCATCACATGTACCAAGTACTTTTTGTCCACCGACGACAAACAAATTGTCAAATCGGACCGCCGCCAGTGAATCGTGAAAGGAACCGGTTTCTCTGCGCATCGTTCGGGGACATCTGAAATTGGGGCATAATCAGCTACCCTCGGGGCTAACAATCGATACCCTGTCAGTTTAGTTATGATGAAGCATACCCACAGAAGGTAGACTACCAACAAAACTATTCAGCAACACTTACATGAGTAGCAGGTCTTAATGAGGCGATCAGACAAGTCCCAGTTTTCCAATGCTTACTTCAAATCCTCCTGAAGCTTTTGGAGAGTGACTGCTGTTGTGTTCCAGTCCATTAATTCAAGCCTCCACATCAACAATGGCTTGACGGCAAAGTGTGAAGGCCGTTAGCAGCAAACTCAGTTGTGCTGGCCATTACCGTCTCCCTAGATGGGGACCACGAGACGACACATATCAGTGGCTAGAGACATTGCCAGTCACGCCCGGAGAAGCGCTCAGGCATCCAAAGTGGCTTACCTCTCAATCTCCTTAAAGAGTCCACCGACAACCTTGTATTTACTCATCAATTATATCAGCTACAGACTACACCTCCCTAATAAATCGCTCAGCTGTAGAACCCTTTCGGTGCCTAGCTGCCATGCCACCCGAGGGAAGCATGAGGGCTGGGATACTGCCAGGTTGCCCCAGCCTAGACATGGCAAATCGAGAGGCAGAGGTCAGGTTCGAACCACGGACCTTCCGGTCAGTAAATTCGCGCTCTAGCCACCTGGGCTATCTCGCCCTCTACACCTCCCTAAACCATCCGCAAACGAAACTGTAGCAGCTGTAGGTGTTGTACGGCAAGCAGGCGGTTCTGACAGCTAATGCTGCTGATCTTGATTATCCAGCGGGTCCCAGTCAACTTGTTTGAAGTGACCTATTTGGTGGGAGCCTTCAGGTTTCGACCCAACTTACCCCACAAATGGCTTCCTGGTCTTTTCGGGAAGGTTTTCATCGGGAAACAAGAACAAGGTTAGTGTTCAGGTGTAGTGCAATACGCTTGTTCACACACAAGGCAGTCAGCATGCCTTGGAAACCACAGAACATATGCCCCATCAATCAACCGTTAAGGTTACGCCTTTAAATTCTAAATTCCTTTCTCCCTGGTGCCTAAGGAACGGTGAAATCTTACTGCCCACTAATGACCTGTTTTGTGCGCATCAAATTTGTGCTGAAACGACACTATTGTAAGCACTCGTTGAATTGACTCGGTCGAATGTCATTCACTGTTGACTGATGGGGTAAAAAGTAGTCAACACCGCCCATTAACAACGGTGCGATGAGGTTGAATATCAGATCTTCGTTTGGCGGGTGATTCTTACCATGATCTACACAAGATCTCGAAGGGATAGACGCAATTCAACTTGTGTCAAGGGAAAGTTGATTTGAACAAAGGTATCGAGAATCAAACCAGTTTTCCTTTCTCCGCACGTAAAAGCGTATCAAGTTCATAAACCGAGGATGTATATGGGACACTTCTCTCTCTAGTGCATCGAAAAAGTGTTCGAACGGGATGAAAACAAGCACTCGGTAAAAAAACCCAAAGACTTACTGGAACCGGCGGCAGCTGTGGTTGATGGTGAGCGTAGACCATCTGTTGAGTGTGAGGATGCTGTTGTTGCTGTTGCTGGTAGAAATCAGTCATATCTGTCGGGTTCGCTGGAGTCGCGGTACGGCTCAGCGGTTGTTGACTACCAAAATGAGCCGGAAAGCTTTGCTGTCGTAGATAACGTGGACCGCCGGGAAGCGTTCCACTCTGATACATGGGAGTGACCCCAGGTTGACCCTGGAGGACAGGTGTACCACCTGGGGGAAGCAGAAGTGAGTGATGCGATTGGTGGTGTGCTGGGTGATACATATGTTGTTGCTGCTGCTGAGGCAAATGCATTTGCGAGCCAACCACCGACTGATGCTGCATCATAGCAGCCGCCTCTTTAGACATCGCGGCATACTGGTCAATTTGCTGTTGCTGCTGTCGTTGTTGTTGGCTGCAGGTAATCTGATGTTTCAACTCTGCCTGTTGCTGCTGCTGTAACATTGTGGGTACCTGCGCCTGATTGGAGACTGAGTGATCAGAAAAGGCGCTGCATTGCAGATTGGTCATCAGCATACCACCTGCTGCTCCGTGATTCGATAGGGTATTCGCGGAGGAATGGCGCTGGTCAGGGCGAGTACCATCGTTAGTTGAAACTGGGATGTATTGGCTAGCGTCCTTGTAGTTTTGAACAAAACCGTCTAAGGTGAGAGGACACGGGGGGCTCAGAATGTGATAATGTGCAACAAAAATGAGGACGACAAATCAACCACAGATTTATCCGTCTACCTACGCCGCGCTGGTTAAATCACCGCTAAGCGGCACAAACACTGTGTGCATCTCTTGATTTAATCAAGTTCTCACACTTGTGAAGTGCTGGAAAACCGAGAATCATGAAGGGGAAAAACGGTTTGCAGTGTTGCTAAAACCATACCACGTGCAGCTAAAAGCGTAAGGTTGTAGAGTTAGGATGTGATAGGAAGTTGAACCGAGAAGAAATGGAGTGCAGTCTATGAGGTTTTCATAGAAGACTCAATCTTGTCTAGTAACCTCTTGCGATGGGGGGAAGAGGGTGCGTACTACCAGGTTGAACATTTCCGACTGAGATCTGACTGCCTTGAAAGTACAACAGAAAGTCGGAAAAAACAAGCTGAACTAATCAGTTCCCATATCTGATTCGGACGAAATGTCTACGAGATGTATTAACGTCGGGAAACTACTTTGCCCAGACATTTATTGAAGCAAGCAATGGTCATAGGTTACATACCGCACAGGGACACCTCTATCAACAAGAGAATTTTAGCAGTTTCTCCACTGCATCTGTCCAGAACCGATGAGGATAAATTACGGGATTCCCGAAGTGGGTGGTTTAACTCAGAAGGGCAAAGATCCCAATGTAAAGGATTTTACCGGTTGGCGAAATGTAGTCATTAGCAAACTAATTTGGTTCTGCGAGAGACTCA